AACGAATCACGAAAAGATTGTAACGGGAGCGTCGAGAGGTAAGCTTATTTCCACATATATACCCTTCACGCATGGTCACCGTCAACTGTCGCTGTATATAAATTTCTATTGGGCGAATTGGATTTTCGACAGGATCACTTCCAATAATTTGAGCACCGTACCGCACGGTTCGAAATGAACCGAATGAAAATGTACATCGTTTACTTTTTTTTTATCAGAACGGCAAATAAAACTATCAACGTTTCATGCGGAAAGAGGGTACGGAAGTTCGCAGCGTCTCGTCTTTTTCGGAAGTTTACGATCGCAAATAAATGTTTTCCTCTTAACGGGACAGGTCGAGAGCATTTTGTTTCGGAAACGCGACTAGAGTGTCAGTTTTTATTTTTATGTTTACGGTTCCTCGCGTATTACCGAAGTTTTCGCTCTTAAAAATTTGATAGGTAGCTACCGTGCTCTCTTCGCGCTATTTCAACCAAATTGTGTTTGATTAATTTTTAAAGACTTTGCCGAAACGATCATACTGAAAAACTCAACATTATACAGGATGTCCAAGTAAAGGTTCTACAGTTTTTTAAATACAATTCTTAATTTCATTTCTTACTTTATATACTTTACTTTTATTATACCATTTTTGAATTATACGATCAAAATAACTATGTGTTATGATCCTAAGCGTTAATTAACTTTTCGTGGGGCCTCATTGGCTTTAAGCATTTGCAGCATAGTAAACCCGAAACTGTTATGCAACTGTTGTAACTGCATGTTATGGGTTCGATTTTTGAGAGAAGTCGAAAACTAAAAACCGCATGATGATACGTCAAAGAGTTTCTGAGCTACAGGGTGATTCTTAAAAATGTGCGTTTCTAAAAACCCTCTATAATCTTTTTATTTATAAAGATAGAGATTTTTATTAAAAGCATTTTTTGAAGAGTTTTTGAGGGCAAATCCATCGGTTTCACCGATTTGGTCTTAAAGCCTTTAGTTCACAAAGTTACATTTTTTAAAATGGAATACCCCATTTTAAAAAAAAATAAAATTTCATGTCAAACGATGTGCAATATAATTATTATTATTAAGTTGTTAAAGAGATATCTGCAATTATAAATAATTACCATAGTAGGCTGTGCTTAACTCTGACCTATACAGTTTTACGATATCTATCTAGGTAGCTATGATCATATAAAAACAATTGCCATGATAGAGAAGCCCAAGTGTCAAAAGTGGCGTCAAGCTACAAAAATGTTTGAAAACTTTGAAAAGTAAGACATGATAAAATGTTATATTGAAAGCAGACGGCGTTAAACCTATATTTCCGGAGATATCCGGAAAGAAGGCACCCTAGTTCAAAAATATTTTTGAAGTTAAAACGTCATCTACAAGAATACGGATCTTTTACAAAACCGTGGCCTAGGACGTATAAAAGCCTAGCCAGAGATAGAGAGTTGGAAGAACTAACGATTCTGGGAGAAATGTAAATTAACCCGAATACTTGCAATGCAGCAATGCGTGCGGGTGTTTAAAAAGCACAAGTTTAGGCCCTATCGATCCCGACGGGTGATGCATCAAGAGATTTCGCTCCAAGACGTGCACTTTGCAGATGGTACCTAAATAAATGCCAAGAAGACCCCGATTTGGCAGGAAAGCTATTTGGACGGATGAGGCAACGATTTTTAATGACGGAATATTCACCAGGTATAACTGCTACTACTGGAAACAGCATATTATTGTGGAATAAGCGAATCAGGGAAGGTTCAGTTTTAAGGTATGGATACGTATCTATAGAGGACAAATTATTGGGCTATATTTTTGATAGAAATTTAAATGCCGAAAGATACCAACAAATTCTCGACGAGCAGGTAATTCCGTTTATTGACAATTTTCCACGTCAGCAAAATAATGAGCTATACTTTCAACATGACGGTGCATCTCTTCACAATGCATGAGACATAACTAATTTGCTGAATAATGTGTTTGCCGAAAACTGGATCGGAAATAAAGGTCCTATATATTGACCCCCCAGGTCTCCAGACCTGACCCCTTGCGACTTCTTTTTGTGGGGGAGAATCGAAAACCTTGAATTTCGAAATCGCCCAACTACTAGAAAGGAATTGGAAGAGGCACTTCTTACAGCATTCGGCAATAATTTTCTTTCCGTTTAGTATTTTAGGGTTGGTAATTATTGTAAACTAGAAGTACGAGATTGCTGTGTCCCTTCGTATCGTACCCAACTTGATTTTGTATTAAGAAAAAAACAATAAAATGTCATCTACATATTGCAAATTGCTAATATCTTTTAAACTATTTAATAAAAATGGGTACATGGTACATCGGCAGAGGAAATTTTATTAGAAAACTGATTTTTTAGAAACATTGGGGGTATCCCATTTAAGGAAATATAACTTTGTGTGATATCTCGGGAACTAAAGGCTCTAAGACAAAACACCTAAAATATCTTGAAATTTTTTTTTCTAAAACTCTTTTCTTACAATTAAAAAAGTTATAGAGGGCCTTTAAAATTGCAGATTTTTGAGAATCACCCTGTAGCTCAAACACGCCTTGACATATCACGATGAGGTTTTCAGTTTTTGACCTCTCTCGAAAATCGAGCAGGTAAGATGTAGTTTTGGGCTAACTATGTTGCAAATGCTTAAAGCCACAGAGGCCCCTCAAATTTGGACCACCCGGTACATTGATTGAGGCGGAGCTAAAGAAAGGGCATGAACGTTGTCTCGGATGACTGATTCCCATATTGGCAACAGGTAAAATCCTGAGTTGCGGTTAAGATTGTTTGGTTGCTGGTAGAATTGTGTTCGGCAACTACTGATGAGTTTATTTGTCTTAAGGCTCTAACGTCAAAACCAGCGCTACCACTTATCTAAAAATCTCTCAACATCTTCGATCCGTCGAAGACAAAATTCCGTTTCAGGAGTTTACAGCATTCCATGCATATACGGCAAAGAATACATTGGAGAGACCGGAAGACAAGTATCAAGGCTTTTTCGCGTTCTGAGTGTAATTGATATTTTTCGTCCGATGTCTCCAATGTATTTTTTCCGCATATGCACGGAATGCTGTAAACTCCTGGTATCTCAAACGGAATTTAGTCTTTGACGGATGGAATATGCCGAGAGATTTTTGGTTTGACGTTTTGACGTTATATTTCTTAAGAACTTTTGATATGTGGTCAGTGATGTTTAGAATATAAGGAAGGACTATAGTGTTAACTGTGGGGTTGCTTTCGTGCTCATTGTCTCTCGAATGTTTTGGTGAAGTGTACTTTTTTGATGGAACGCTTAATCTTGAATGTGGAAATTATTAGAGAGAAGAGCAGATGTAAAGTGTATTAATTTTGGGTTCAGTGACTCGGAGTGAGATAGTGTTACAGCTCTGTAAACGAAAGAGTGACAATGCATTAAACTGTCTGTCTGATTAGGTTTTCTGTAAACAGGTTGACCCAATGCTAGGTCTGATAGAGTTTAATAGTAATTCTTGACTATGAGGCCAAGTAACGAAAGTAAAGGGCTTTCTTCTCAACGGCTTCGATAAATATATTGAAGCTCAGAAAAAGTTAACCGGATGATGGGCTAAACATCAGCAAGTTCGATTCAACAACAACCGACGCAGAAAGAATCTACAAGTTTTGTAACTAGCATTACAGTAGCCTGTGGAAGTTGCTTTGAAAAATGTAATGTAAATTTTTGTTTCTCAAATTCTTAAGAATTATTTGGAAATAATATTCCATTCACATTCCGAATTGAAAGGGTGGGTTCAATAACCGAGTAGATCCATTTTTAAGAATTTGGTGCAAATCCCAAAAAAATCTATAATCTGAAGAAAGAAAAAAATGGTGTTTTAATTTTTGGTGCTTTAAAAGCATCTAAGAATTTTTTGTAAGTAATATCGGTATAGGTATGTCTGCTTTTTTCTAAAATACATAAAACAACGTATTTTTGCATTTACTTATAAATTATTATTATATTGAAAATAATAAAAACTCAGGAAAAGTGTGTTAATCTCATTATATATTTCAATGGGAATATAAAGCGCTATTTAGTTTTAGTTTGTTAATTTGGTTTCACTAGATTTCTTTAAAGTAACGAAATTTTCAGACACCAAGACACTCGCTGACTCTTAGCAACTAACAGTTCACTTCAATTCTTTCTCTTGGCTTTTTTGAAATTTAGCTTATACTTGTGTTTTGAACCATGCGACTCCATTTCTGTGGACCCTCTCTTTATTTTCTTTATTCCGACTAGAGCAAAGGATAGAAATTGGACCAGAACTCCAGTCCTATTCTAAGCGACACAATTTTCAATATAAACAAGTGATTAGAATTTCATTAAATATTTATAAATGTCAGATAATTTATTGTAGCTGTAGATTTGATCTGAAATCTCTATGAACTCTGTTTCCTGAGTGGTCTCTGAATTTATAGCCACATTGATTGTTTTCTCCAATTGTTTTATTTTCATACGTTCCGATATTAGTTCGAATTCTATATCTCTGCAACAGCTAGTTCAATATCATTGGAAATTTTTTTTACAAATGTTAAAAAATTTGAAAAGTAAATTATTATCCACGTTAAAACCAAACCAAATGTAACATAAAGCTGAAGAAAAACCTGTATTTCGATGATATTCCCCAAGAGTAAAAATCGTTTTTCATTTTTTGCTTTTTTTGGGTAAATCATTATTTGGCTAACCAACAGCCCAACAATAACGATCCAAGTTTGAACAATTACTAGAGGTTTTATAAATTAAGTAAAATGAGAAAAAAACTGCTAGTCTAATGAGATTATTTGACATTTATAAATACTCTAGGGCAGCACAACATTGAACGCTTTTCGTCTTTTCGGAGGATGTCCTATTGACTGCTTATTACTGTCATTGGTACACCTGCTCATAACTGTTTTAATAATAGGTTATTGTAGGAGTACTCGTACCTGTTGTTTCATTATAGGCGGTTGAATGAAATCTACAAGCAACTACTAAAAAACTTACTTGCATTCGATGCATGTAGACCTGTCTGGCAGCAAGTTCGACTCTATCATCCCGAGGGTCTAAAAATATTATTAAACAAACAAATTATTATCACATATTAAGCGGGTTGGGCACTTCTTTAGACTATGTTAAGCGTTAAAATTTATGTCAGTCATGTTAGCGGTGTGACAAAATTATTCGTAATATAAATCACTCAATCCTTTTCAACGTAAAAATGTCTCTAGAAACATTTAAAAAATGTTCAGGCGCAAATCTGTAAAAAATTTCTTGCTGTACGAGTTTTATCCGCCGAAAAGTTAGCTCGCTTACAATGTTGATGCAAGGGGTCCGGATATTGACAAGCGATACATATATGTCTCAGTACAACGACAAAAGAGGGATTTTAAAGAGAAAAATGCAAATTTAGTCACGGTTTTGATATCGCTAGTAGCTCTTAAATATAATTTATCAAAACTTTTTTCCATTTAGGAGCGTCGATGAGAATATTGAAAAACTTTTTAAATACCCCATTCAAGACCCTAAAAAAATTTTTGAGAAAACGATTATTGCAATTTATAATGTATAATTATTAGAATTAGTATTGGCCCAAGGGACAAATATCTGGATCAAAACGTAGTAAATACTTTACAAACCGAATTATCAAATATTTGTTTGTTTGTTTCAAAGCACCTTAACGCTTCGTGTTCTTATCCCAATTTTTATGAAAATTAAAAACTATATTTTAAATCCGGCGTGGTCTATAGCTACCATTCCAGCGGAACAAAAGTGGAACGCGATTTATTTTACGAAATGCAAGAAAAACAATAACGGACAAACACAAAACAGAACTTTTAAAGCGGTCTTTTTTCTTCGTTATAATTTAGGCGGACAAAAGCGGAAACACAAAATGCTGTGGCTTCGTCGCGCTAGTCGGGTTAACTTTTTGTATATCTAAATGAAGCGCCGCAATGCAAAAACAAATAGGTTTACCGAGAGACCTGTAAGTACGTCGGAAACTGAAATGGAAAATAAAAATTTACGTCTCGTACGTAAAAACAGTAAGATATATTACTTGTCTAAGTGAATTATGGCGGGGGGTTTACTTTTAAATCTCTGAAAAATATTACATTTTGGGCCAAGGTTGGTGACAGAACGCACGCGAGTTATATAATAAGCTTCTGCTATGCACAGTCTTATAGCAAATAGTTCATATTGTTTTTAAAGAAAGACCTCGATGATAGCATAACATCGACAGTGGTTTCGTGCCACCATAAATGAGAATGCCGTCTGGCACTACCACCGACATTCAAAATTCCTTGTATTTACAATACCAGGTGTTATCGGAATGATTATATAATATAAGGAGTGCTTATAGATTGAAACAGATTTCCATCATTCCATCATACATCTTTTTTCTAATATTATTAAGAGATGATTGGAGTGTTAGTTATTATTAGTTTTGTGTCTCTATTATTAAAAAAAAAAGTCCTTATACAAGTCATACCAATAATATTGGTAATTTAGAAACATAGTATGAAAAACAATTTTTAAATAATTCAGTGTGTGTCTAGCAACCGCGTTATTTTTTGCAGTAGTTTTTTCTAACATTGTAAGAACTTTATGGAGTCTGTCATTATCCCTCCCCATTAAAGCCTTTACACTGAATGATGATAATGATAACCGGGATATAATTAATAACTCAGACAAAGATAATTTTATCGTTTAATCTTTACCCTTATTTCACAATGCAGGTTGAGTTTGCTTAGCAATCTAAAGGAGTATTGACAGAACCAATTGACATGTTTTGTGAGTCATAGGTTAGTTTTGGTTTGACTCCATAGCCTCAGATTTTTTGCTTTGGTTTTATATTCTTCACCATTCATTGTTAATTGTAGATGATTTTTTAGCTAGTCTATCTGTTTTTGTGCTCCAAATAATATGGCCACCAACTTACTGCCATTTACGGCTATCAAGCTTTAGGTTATCAGCTAAAAATCTAAGGATTAAAGTCATTTATTCGTAATTATTGTGAAGAAATATATGAGAAGAACAAAGTTCCTAAAATCCTAAGGCAATTAAAAGATTTTTGCTTTCTTTTAATTTGGATTTATTGAACTACTAAATTGGATAGTCTTTTCCGATAATGTTATAGACTGAAGACAATCTTTTTAGAACCGGAATTGTTAGTATGCAATGAAGTAAGGTCGCTATATCAGGTTCTTTCATATTTAGAATTATGGACAACATGGATGTGTAATAGTTTCGTTTATACGATACTGATAACATAACAGATTTTCTAGTGTAATAAACATTCCAAACGTTTAAAGAAATAACAGGTACACTTTTCAAGAAAACAAATTACGGGAACTTTTAAAGAAATATTTGAAGCTGGGATTTTTTTTAAATTTTGGAAAGGTCCTGGCCAATCATTCAAAATATCTTTTTATTAATTTTTTATTTCTGAACATAAAATATGTAGTGAGCCGTTGACAAAGACGAAGAGACAAATTGAAGATCAACCGAAATTATTTTAGGCTGGCTGGAAAATCTGAACGCATTTAATTTACACCCTGATTCTTGAAATGTGATGAAAATGTTCACTTTTATAATTATTCTTGAATGAGGGGAATTTAAAATCAGGTGAAATAAAAATATAATTAGGAGACATCGGAATACAGAATAAAAAAAATAAAAAAGCGAATGAAAGTCTTATCATATTTCTAGACAACAAAAAGACCTTCGAAAGGGTGCAAAGTTACTAATTACATTGCAAAAAAAATATATGCAAGGGAGAACATCTTTTTGTACTTTATAGTAAAAAGCCGGAGTAGCGGCCTACGTTTCGAATTTTGTACCTATTTTTTTATTAGTGGGAGTAATATTGGTGCTTAGAAATAATATCACGTTAAAATTTGTAAATCATATTATATTAAATCATATTATACATTGCATAATTAAAAACTCATATGTAATTATCTAATATTTTGGAGCCTGCAGAGCTCTCAATATTTTAGATGCAGATGATTCTTTGGCAATGCAGGTAATACAATTTTATCCTACAGTAGGGTGTTATGTAATTTCTGAGTGCTTAATTTGTAAGAATAAGTCAAGAGCAATCTCTATAGGAGTGTGTATAACTGTACAAGCAGATGCAGAAATGGGTAACACTAAAAATAACATCGACTCAACAAAAATAAGACTCAAATCCAAGTTTTTAACCAAACGAAAAATATTGAAACACACCTATAGCAATACAGATAAATTATCGACACGAGTAGAAAGAAAAAATACACAAAAAAGGAATATTATCAATAAAAATTAGAAATTTAGAAACAGAGGGATATTGAGTTACATTGGATATCTGATTTAATTTTTGAATAATAAAAACACAATTTCAGATTATTTAAAACTTTAATTATTTTTGTTTTTTAAGTTAATTTTCCTATTATTTTTTTGTAAAGAATTAACTTAATTTAAAGTAAGACATTTTTCTGAAAATTTGCTCGATTTAGTCCGAGATCGAGATTTATGTTAGTTTGTTATTTTATTTGTTCTATTCGTTTCGTGATATTTACATTTTTAGATAATTTATTAAGTACTGCTGAAACTGACATTTTATATTTAATCCTTTATTTTAAGCAAATTAATATACTTCCTCAGGTGTTTCTGTTTGTTAGGTTGTTATTGTTTAACTAGGTCATTAATAAAAATATTGAATTACCCCATTACATAAATGCTTTATTTATGCTAGAATGTTATTAAGCGATTAAAATTAATTTTAAATAGGTATGGGAAAATCCTGTACACAAAATAATTGGCCTATTGGAAGTGATCCTCGAATTTTTCAAGTTCCTTCAGAATATTCTCGAGTAGAATATCTATAAGAACGTTTTTCGAATCATACAATCACAATATATTATGTTACTTGGATCTTCATTTTCACCATTAACTTAGGTGGTGAAACACTTCACCCGAAAATGAGGCGAATAAATTCACGTTTTTTTTTCATTATATTTTTAATATCTGAATTGCTTTTAATTTCAAGAACTGTCACTGATATCGCGGAGATTAATTAAGATTTTGAAATTAAATCTGAAAAAAATAACGAAATATCCAAACTCAGTAACCAAAAATTTCGTTTGCGTACCGTTAACTCGATGTTTTTGGCCAGCGTCGACTCGGCAATATTCGCAAAAGGTTTGTCCGCTCCCCAACATTCGACGTATTTTGTCATCTTGCTAGAGGGTCTGGCGCGAGTCGGTAAGCCGCCAGGGGTCGCTATCCCGATTCCTCCCTCCCCGATACTGTTGTTCCTTTCCGAGTTGTGGTTGGCGGGTTTTAGGTTACCGTTTTGCACTTCGGATTCTTTCTGAAAAGAACGATTTATTTGAATGGTGTTGTTCCGTGTTATTTCATTTGTATGCTCTGAAGCATTTTGTAAAAACACTGGATATAGCAATTACCCCCTTGGAGTTCCTTAATTCTTAATAATTACTGAAAAAAACACTAGACAACGCAAACAATACTCCTAAAATTTAAAGCAAGCTCAACTAGACTGTGTCGATGGTGCTTTCACTGGCTCACTCACGTATGAAGTAGTGCTTGGCAACGGTCTTTTTCAAAATAAATAAGAACAAAATTAATAGTTTCGTGAAAATCTGAACTTTAAGTTCTAATGTATTGTTATAAATGGATTTTCATCAAGTAAAAGCCTCCTCAGTTCAACGGTCTTTTTCTCGCAATAGAAATAGATGTGTAGGTGGTGAAGGTGAAAAAAAATTCTAGGTCTAGTTAATTTTTCAATGTATTAAATAAAAAAAAATCTGGGATCCACTCTAATAAAAAAAATGGCTAAATTAATAACAGAATAAAGAGAATTGGTTTAAGAAATCGAACGTCCTAAGTTTATCTAGCGTGCGGGAAGCGTCATTTTACCATGTCAGTTTAGTTTCCAACGGATCCGAGCCACTTCGGATATTTCCGGCATTTTACCGCACGGGTTTGGGAGCAATCGGATGATTTCGGAGATATTTCCTACGCCTTCAATTTGACGTTTGTCAATTCTGACGGCCATGTCAGTCAATGTATTCGCGTTGTTTGGCGAAAATGTATCCAAAAACGAACGGTCGTAGAAAAAGTATAGTATGCAACACGTAACAGTAAACTTTTTAAGTCACTCGTTTATTAAACACTCGCTCCGCTGCACCCAGTTCGTGTCAAATAAACTCTTGAATCAAATGCCGTTTACCGCACTTGTTGCATAATATACTATTATTTGTTTAATTACAAACTCAATAGAATTACTTCCATTTACAGAGTAATTTGGGAACTACATAAGAAATTCAAGTTTATAATTGAATAATTAATTCGATATTTCAAAGAGTTTAAATTTAAGCTTCCCAACCGACGATACATGAGATAAATCACACTCTGATCGGAATTGATTATACAATTTTCACATGAGAATCATTGGTGAATGACTATAATGGTTATTATGGGTATTGTCTACGTAGAAATTCAGGGAATTTCGGGTTATATACTCTGAAACATGAATATCAATTTGGTACATCGAATCAAAATTAGCCTTCCCGAAGTTGAAACTTGGAAAAGAATGAACACTAAATGACACTGTGATTCTTAACGGGAGATGATGGGCGTCTACTTCGATAAAACTAATGGTGCTTTAACAACGAAAAAAATTCAACAACATTTAGGAACATATGGAACTGCTGATCGTTAAAGTTATTATGATGACAATCATTCAAATGTGTAATATTATGGCCAACTAAGAGAATTCGTGCATGACAAATATATTCTATACCTTTCCCATATCTTCCTACCAGCTATCAAAACACTACCACCGTGCAATTGATCATCCCTATTTCGAAATTTCGAAACGATAGAAGACTTTGGAAACAATTCACCATCATTTATATTATTTGATAACAATGTTTCACTTGCCGCATATTCATTTTATGTTAGTATCACAGTATGAAAAACATTGTTGTTTTACTATTAAGACCACGTACACCGGGTGCCAAATAAAACGGTCTACTATACGATACAAACTAAGGAGATGATGCACTAGTTAATCAGTTTCTCAGATGCGCCTTAGCTTATACAGAATGATGTCGATCAGGTAAGTTGGATCTTTTATAGTTAGGATATTCTAAGATATTTGAAGTCAGCTGACCACTGTTATGCAAAGCTTCACATTTGTAGCAACAATCGCCACAGAGAGGACAAATACTAGATTGTTATGTCTAATCAGCAATTTAAACAGGGTTGGTGGAGTGCAAAATGCAATTTTCTCTTTGGTCTCCTTTCAATCTTCTTTTCTAGTTATATACCTGGTGTCACAAGAAAGTGGGAACACTCTATAACTTTTAAACAGCTTGAGATAACGATTTGAAATTTGGGAGGGTTAATATAGGCTGAATGTCCAACAGTCAACCTATTTTTTTGCATTTTTGGATTCAGGAGATCATTCTAAGTAGGTGTTTCTCATTTCTTTTTGTTTTTTAAATCTTTATTTAATTTTTGAAAATTATGTTTAGGAGGCTGTGACCATTATAAATACTGTTTACTGGGTCACCTGATCATGGGAAAAATTGTAAATTAAACTTTTCTTTACTTGTCTAATGGCAAATAGCATTTAATGGAATGAACTAATAATTTTTTAGGATAACCTAGTTTTATCAAATAGCATCTTGCCTAAGTAATATTTTGTTTTTATAAAAATGTATTTACTTATCTGGTTTTTTCCTTTTTGTGAGCTTATTTTTAAACGGATTTTGAAAATTTTAGTGTCCAAATGTTGCAAAACAAGTACCAGTTTTAAAAAGTTTATGTTACCACTAGGGTGAAATTTGAAAAAACTAGGTTATCCTAAAAAATTAATAGTTCATTACATTATGCTATTAAAGAAAGTTTCATTTACAATTTTTCATATGATCAGGTGAACCGGTTATGACGGTCACAGCCTCCTAGCCACAATTTTTAAAATTAAATAAAAAAATTAAAAAACAAAAAAAAGCGAGAAAAACCATCCTATCCTACGTAGAATGATCTCCTGAATAATAAATGCAAAAAAGTATAGGTTTTCCATTTAAAATTCGAAAGTAGTTTCCGCTCAAATCGGAAGTGCATTACATATTGTCAAAAAATTGGACATTCAGCCTATATTAACCTTTCCAAATTTCAAATCGCTACCTTAAGGCGTTTAAAAGTTATATGGTCTTCCCACTACTTGTGTCACCCGGTATATGATCTGACTCTGCACATTTTCTTCAGAATATTTCCGAATTGTCCATGATAAATTCTTCCACAAATGATCTTTTAAAAATACCAACACTCATTATCATTTTCTCCGAGATTCCAATATCCTTAACTTCCATGTTTTTATTTCAAGTCTTAAGTTTTTTCTTTAATTCTTATTGTTAAGTGACTTCATGACATTCTATTAAAATACTTTAGCTAGGTAAATGCTTCACCGTCTTAAAATTATTTCTCATAAGTTGTGGGCTTGCGATTACCAAATTTTTCAATTTTAAAGAGTTCCTGTTTTATTTAACTTCAACTTTAAATTAATCTAGAAAACCTTTTGCTTATTTTTTTTTAAATTAGGCGTAAATTGGATTAAAATGAGTGTGCGTAGAAAATCACGGATCATACGGAAAACTTGGATTGAGCATAAATTCAGGTAAGAAATCCAAAGCAAAAAACAATTCAAGTGAAGTCCAAAGGCAAAATTCATCAATACGATTTTCTTTTTCGTGCACCTATATTTTGATAAAGAATGTTTGGCAAATTTGCAGAATAAAGCACTTCAAAATTAGTTACTGTTAGGCTTATTTTAGGTTTTACACTGGTACCCCAATTTTAAAAAGTATACAGGGGGTTTAAAAAAGGATTCTCCTAATTTCTAGGATAAACAGAATATTAGAAAATGACGTTAGTTTGGTAATTAAATAGTACTTTTACTTCATAATTTTTTCTTTACTTTAAACAAGAATACCTTTCTTTATTACAGAGTTATTTGTCGTCTAAATCCCAGTGAGATATTTTTTGGGCGCCCGTTTTACAGAACGGTTGCATCTGATATTTATTAACCAAACCACCGGCAATTTTAAATATTCTATTTGCATTAGGAATTAGTGACACGTTTATTGAAAATCCGATTGTCCCCATTCTCCATACTAAAATTAAGACTGAGCTGCGTTCAGTTGAAGCATCGCGTGTTTAAAAGCAACTTCGGAACTGTTTTCTTTGCTTTTAGTCGTTTTCGCCGGTTACACCGAAAAAGGCAGTCGTTATTTTTTCTCACCGAAAAGGCAATATTTATTTATAAAGTATCAAGGCTCTGGCTATCCGGAAAATTCTTACTTTAAACACGACAACCGATGAATGTTACGCCAAGCGAATATTATTTCGTAATTTTCCGCATCAACGATTTTTTGAATATAGAAGGCTCGCATTTGCATGCGCTTAAAGGGGGAATCCGATGTTTCTCAAGGTTGCGGATCCATTAGCGGGTGTCTCGCAAAGAGAGATTTTTTATCAATACGGCGTGTTTGGTCCCCAAATCCTCCACAAACCCAAAACGCAAATAAAAATTTCTATTCCAAGAGGCAAGCTAACAACACAAGAACGCTGTCAAAGGAAAATGAAATCTGTGCAATCCAGCAAAATACCGTGCATGTTAGTTTAGGATTGTCAAAAACTAAAAACTAAAAATCATTCATCCGATAGGGAAAAATTTTACAACCGTAATACGTGGGAGATCCGGCGCTATAACTTTTTTTTATTATTATTTATATATTTTTATATATATACTTTTTTATTATTCTTATATACAAGGTCTTTTAGTTATGGACAAAAATCTAAAAGACCCTGAAAATTGTTCTTTTAGGGAGTATATTATTAACCGCAGTAAACAGTTCAAGATTTGGTCGATCGCTTTGTATTCTAGATGGTACACCCGGTATTTTTAACATTCTACGGTAGGTCCTATGGGATCGCCATTGGTACAGAAATGATCAGCATCTCCCTTCTCCGTTCTCGTCTTCTGGCTTTTCTTGAATAACTTTCGAACCGTCGGAGCTGCAAAATTGAAATTTGCCTCCTCTTTAACCGTCCACGAGATACATGAGCTTGTAAGAAATGGCCTCGACCGGACGCCGGTATCCATATTTTTTTCGTGATTGTCGACTGTTTTTTTAACATTGCTATCAAACACGATAAGTGTCCGAAATTCGAAACTTTTCATATTTAGCACATATATGCAGGTTTGTGCCGCGACAGAACCTATTGAAAATGGGGGGCCTGGGGGGTCGGGAAGTATTCAAAAAATTCATAAAAATCGCATGT